CAACACCAAGCCCTGAGGAACACCACTTGTGAAGACCCAGCTGGATTTGACTCCATTGACCACTCCTCTTTGGGCCCAACTGTCCAACCAGCGCTTGATCCAACAGATCGTGTGCTCATCCAGGCCATGAGCAGCCAGGTTTTTTATGAGAGTTCTATGGGGAACTGTGTCAAATGGTTTTTGGAGGTCCAGATAGACAATATCCACAGCCTTTCCCTCGTCCAATAGTCAGGTCATCAGGTTATAAAAGGAGATCAGGTTCATCAGGCAGGACCTGCCTTTCACAAACCCATGCTGACTGGGACTGACCCCCTCGTTATCCTTTATATGTCTTCTAATAACATTCAAGGTGATCTGCTCCATGACCTTCCCTGGTACTGAGGTCAGATTGACAGGTCTATAGTTTCCTGAATCCTCCTTTCTGCCTTTCTTACAGCTGGGTGTTACATTTGCCACCTTCCAGTCCATTGGAACCTCCCGAGTTAGCCAGGACTTCAGGTAAATAATTGCAAGTTATTAGAAGAGTTTGGAGAAGAAGTGCTGTCTATCACTTTAAGTCTTGCTTCATTGATTGCAGTGTCTGATTGGTCAGTCAAACATATGGGATTTTTCTGCTTCTTGCCAAGACGTCAAAACCTGAAGAAAATGAATAGTGAATACCAGGTGTTGTGAACATTTCCTCATTCATGTGCGAATATGGATGTTTGTATAAAGAAAAAACATATTTACCCTTCTCAATGTTCACTTTCAAGGCTTCCATCATCATCCTTTGGCCTCTTGTGTTTTGAACTTCCTTCTTCTAGTCCAGTAACACCAGCCTTCGTGGGAAGACCTTCTAAGTCATTTTTCCCATTGGGCTGCTGGACTTTTATCTTCATCCTTGATGAGTGCCCCCGGGGACAATATAGTTGTAGATGGAAACAACTGTGCCATGAATGTTAATGCCCATTAATGTCATCCAAGCCATGACGACTGGAGAGGTAGGAATTAGGTGAAGAACAATATTCTGGCTCTCAGGATGGTCATCAGCCTTTTCTCACTAAATGGCTAAAAACCAGAAACATGGGAAAGTGACCACCCTGGCAAGAGAGTGATGAATGGGAATTAAGCATTATTTCATGCTGTGGAACAGCTTTGGAGTCTTTCTTCAAAGAACAACACAGATGTAATTGTCACTAGGCAAAAATTAAACAAGGAATCTATCAAGAAATATTCTTAACAGAAGTCTGAACCTTTTCTTATTTTCCCATCTGGTTCAAAGGGTCAAAGGAAATTTTAGAATAAAGTTGCAACCTATGTATTTTACTTAACTATGCATAAAATCCACTGATTTTTCTGCACAGGTTTTACAAAAAGTTATCAGCTGACCCTGATTCTCTTGACACAGCCTCTCAGTGAACAGAGTTTTGATTTCAGCTTGAAAATGCCAGAAAGAGAATGGGTTCATATTGGGGCTGGAGGTGTAGACTTCAACTGCAAGGTTCTTCAACTGCAGGTATCTCATAGTGATTGGCTTGTGAGGCTTAGCTCAGAATCACTCCTCATTTATCTGGTGCAAATAACATGTTGAGGCACTTATTCCTTAGACTCTATGGAATGATCTCCTTTCTACTTAGGGCTCTGGGTCTCAAGCAAGGTATCTAGCAACCAATATTTCACACTTCTCTCAAGTCAGCTCCTCTTGCTGTCATTCCAACTCTTTCCACAGGTCCTGGACTAGTAGCTCAGCACAGGACCATTAATTGCTTCCTATCCTTCCTCACATCTCCAACACTTTGCCTCTCCAGTGGCCTCTATATCCACCAAGAGGTAGCAGCCACCCCTTGCCTTAGCCTTCTTGTTGTTGGCCCTGATGTCTGTTGGCTCTGATGCTGATGACAGAGAAATAGATGGCATGGTGGAGCTAACAATTTTGATAGGAACTAGCTGTCTCAGATCTCAGTTATCTTCAGGATGCATTCAGCAACAGCCACAGTTCTAGTGGGTTATGTTCAGACACCCTCCTGAGCAGACTTGAGCAGAGCCACTAGGTCTCATTTTAATTGAGTATGACAAAGCTGTAAGAACTTCGTGGTTCCTCAGGGAGACTCACCTCACTATTTGGAATCAAGGTATGAACCATCAGCTTACTAGAGGAAACACATTTAGGTTTCAATATTCCACTAGCTTTCCCAGGGCTGCCAAGGAACAGCCCCACGGAAGAAAAACACTGAGATTCACCAGCCAGAACTAAAAGGTACCTTTGGATAAGAGCTCACTTTCTTTGTACAATGAGGTGATTGTGAACCCTGTAGTAGCATGAATATTTCCTTCCAGGCAGTGGAAAGTGTTACTCGAGATGTTATCAAAAATACTACTCTTGAGATATTATCTTTCTGCAAAACCCAGGAAGCTACAAAATCTTGAGTAACAAATCAAACATATTTCGTTTCCGATCATAGGAGTGAGGTTGTTTGCTTGTTCTCCTGTAGAAAGAGAAAGGCACAGAGCCACTCCCCTTCAGATGCAGAGACTATATATATTCTGATGGTCCTTCCTACCAACAGCCCTGGATGAGATGGGTACCACGATGATTTTGACATGGCTCCTCTTGTTAGGCCCAGCAGTTCTGGAGGCTGAATCAGGTAAAGTATTTAAATGAGTTCCAGAGTGCACAAAAAGAAGATTATTTGGTTCCTCAAATAGTATTGGCTTGGGCAAAAGATTAAAGGGGAAATTGGATGAAAGAGATAGCACCGTTTTATTCTACTAAAGTTATGAATTCATAATATTGAACGATGGGTTAAACCATTTAGGGGAGTCCAATTTCCTCCCACATGATAGCATTGTCTTAGTGTCTTGTGCTATTGTGATACTTGTGTGTTTGAGCACATTATAAATGAGTCATTTCTCCAGTTCCAGAAATTTGACCTAAGAATTATGGAAGAATTGATCAATTTATTTTTAAATGTATATTTATTCCAAAGTATATGCACACATACTTGTATGTTTAATATTGTTTGTATTATTTGATTCTTCTTGATCTAAGGTGCAGTTTAATGAAATACAACAAGAAGCTAGTTCTCATTAGCTAGTACTGTGGACAAAATGAGAGACAAAAATTATGAAAGACACAAAATGCTTTTAGTGTGACTTTTTTTTGTCATTGACTTTTTCTTTACATGATTAGTTTCTATCTCCTAAGTGACTTAGGTGACTTCAGGCTAAATAGTTCTAAGTATATCCTTGAATAACTGCAGATTATTTTTCTAATTAGTTATTTAAGCATTGTTATGATAATTTATGTTGCCATCATCCAGTTTTCTTCATCTGTCCTCTGCTTGCCTGGGAATAAGCCATTGTACTCTTGCTGCTCCGGTTCTCTCTGCTCTTGTCTTCATTCCCCAGCCCCTGCCTCTGACCCCCCTGGGTCAGAAAAAGTGCTGGTTTTGTGCAGTCACTTGCTTTTCTCTCTTTAACACCTTTACATTGTGAGGCAGGATGCAACATATCTAATTACACACCCAGCTGATGGTTATGCACTCGCAGTGATGACAGTGAATGAAAGCAAAGAAAACTGGTTTAGATCAGCTTTAATTTCCTAATCCAAACTCTTGACCTTTTTTTGCCAGGTTTGTTTTTTCACTTCTCAAAAGTTTTTTGAGTGTCATTCAAATGTCCAAGTAGGTATTTGAAGAAAGAGATCAGATAGAAGTCTAGTGACACTTTTGTAACTTCTCCCTTTGAACTGCCAGTTAAATGCGTCCAAGTAGGGACATATTTATTTTGGATAGTCTTGGCTATTCTTTTAGTCCAACAACAAAGAATTAGATGCAGTGAAGAAATCCTAGAGCTCTTAACTTCTCAGATTTGCTTTGCCTTGCATGACTGACCTGGTGTTTAATAACAAGCTAAATATGCTTTTGGCAAAAATGCAAATTATAACAAGTGCAGTGTGCAGGTTTTGATTTCCAAAGTGTAAATACTGCAGATCTTAAGTTCCAACATTTACTTGCTTACTTAATAAAGTAAAGTCTTTAATAAACTTCTTCACTAAAAGTGGATATCTAAAATCAGGATTTCCACACTATTCACTGCAAAATGTCTAAACAAGCTATCTCACCAGGAAAGCAAATGCACTTTACCCAAATTAATACAGTAATTAGATGGATACATGGTAGGTTATTAAGCAATTATTTATTTCAAACTTTATTAAGCAATTATTTATTTGCAACTCTAGTAACATTTTACTGGCACATAAGTATTAAAGTAATGGGAATAAAGTAACTGAATTCCTATTGAAAATTTTATAATCCTGTTGAGCCCATTGTCCATTCTTCCACTAAAATTATTCTTTTAAACTATGGGATTTGGTTGTGATGTGTGCAGTCCATGTTATTAGAATCCTCCTAAAACTTTTAGAGGAAGAAGAGAAATTCTAGTTAAATTGCATAAAGCAGGGAGAAAAATAAAGGATGGCTACTGTTTCTCTAAAATTCTGTAGTTTTTCTGAAGGATTCATTTGGCCTGATTCTGACAACATTTTAAGCACAGTAGTGCACTGCTTTTTGTCCTTCATGAATTGTAATTTATCTGCTTGGTCATTTTTATATAAGCCCCATAAGCACAAATTTAGGAAAAAGCCACGGTCTTGGCTGTCCAAGCTGCATCTCACTGTGTCCCTGAAGTCCCAGACACCTGCTTGAGCTCCACTTTCTGCCTGGAAATTAATTTTCTCTCCTTTGCTTTCCTATTCTGCTTTTCTTATAATTAAAGACTTCCCTTTCTTGCTGAAATAGTTTCTGCTTAGGCTGCTGTCTAAATTTTCTGCAGAAATCTTGTACCAAATATATGCAGCCAACTTTGAGATTCTGGAAGAGAGGTAGAAAAAAGGTGTAATATTGGGTTAGGCAATCACCTATGGGGACGATGGGGCAAGAGGACATGATAAATGACTCCTTAAGGTCGCCCCCAGCTTCTTTGTCTGACTGTGTTTGTGCTCAACTCCCTCTGTCCCAAAGCAACCAGTCTCCAGCTGGTGAATGGAAACAACCCATGTGAAGGTCGAGTGGAGATCTACCACAGGGGACGGACGGGGACAGTCTGTGATGATTACTGGAACATTGATGATGCCAAGGTTGTGTGCAGGCAGCTGGGATGTGGCCAGGCCATTGCAGCTCTAGGAAGTGCTTACTTCGGGGCAGGCTCAGGTGACATCTTGCTGGACAACGTGATGTGCAGCGGAACCGAGGTCTCCTTGTTTCACTGCAATCACACTGGATGGAGGATCCACAACTGTGGCCACCATGAAGATGCTGGTGTTGTCTGTTCAGGTGCCGTCATGTTTTTCTTTTCTAAATACTTTTGGTATAAATTGTACTCAACATGTGTACATCAGCATAGCGGTATGCAGATCTCCTCCTCCTGAGGCAACATATCATCCATTCTAGGCATATGGTGGAAAGTTGTATCAGATATGTCTAATCTTTCCTACTACTTCATTATGAAGAATTTTTTTCTCTGTGAAAGAGCACACTCTGTCTGAAAATGTGTGTTCTCAAGAAGCAGAGTCAGATCTTCCTGCAGCCCTGATTATTTCTCTCCACTCACCCTGCAGAGCCAACATGGACTCATGTTTTTCTCACTAGGGTAGTATACAAACGGTGCTTGCCCACTCCTTGCAAAGCAATTAAAACACCCAAGGATCAGGTATGCATCACAATATGCAGACCTTTAATTCCATCTAACTGTCCAGCAGTAACAAAAAGAACAAGGAAACAAGTCAAAATTAGAGGCAAAGCTATGTCTGATAGGCAATGTGCATCAGGAAGGAATGGGGTTTGGGGAAAATAATCTCAAACCTTAATGCATTCATGAGGGGCAATAATAATTTCACAGTCACAACCCAAAGTGCCATATCTGACAACTCACTTTGCCTTGTTTCTGTATTTTTCAAGTTTTCATTCAAGTTTAGGTCCATTCATATTCTTTTCCTTTACAAATATCCATCCATTTTGAGTATTCTGTCACTTTGATGTTTTCAGATTTTACTTTCTTCCTATTTTTTTAAGAAACACTAGCTCACTTGTATTTTATTTTCTCCCATATTAAGAGCAGATGTTTATTAACAGAGATGTGGCTGATTAAAACAACCATGTTTAGTTGTTTTATATGTATTTCAATTTTCCACATTTCCTTACAGGAAAGGTCAGTAGATGCTAGAAGAAAACATGAGAAAGATCAGTGTTTTGCACTTAGAAGAAAACAACAAAACTTGCTCCAACACCTCTGTTACCACATCTGTACTGTGTTCTGTCTCTTTTTCAATGCCATTTGTTTCTTGCTTGCATTTGTAGCTGCAGTGCCTACAACAGACTGGCCATATACGACAGAGTATGACCTCTCTACAGAAGACAACTACTACATGACCACTGAGCTGACCACCACAATACCATTAATGTCTATGATGGAGACGATCTCCCCAACAGAGGAGATCACAAGAGCATTCATGAGACCCATAACGGAGAAGATGTCCCTAGAGGAAACAGACACAACAGCAGCATCAACCTCCCTGGTGACGATGACCTCCCCAACAGAGGAGAGCAGCGCAGCACCACCAACCTCCACACCAGAGGCAATCTACTCAGCAGAGACAAGGGCTCCACCACCAGTGCCTATCACAACAAAAGGCAGCACATCAGGTAACCCTGTCTACCATCACTCACTTATCTCCTCAGTGCCCCTCACCTCCCTTCCTAGACCTGATTGCACTGGGCGAGTCTCCCATCCCTGGGACACTTCAGTTAGGCCATCTTGGCACCCAAGTCTGCAGTGGGGATGCTAGAAGAGCACGGAGAAGAGCTGTTAAAGAGGGTGGGTGAGGCTTGAGTAGAGGACTTCTGTAGCCATTACTGGGGAAGGAAACTGTCTGGTTAGGGATTTCATCTCACTGTTACTGGGAATATTACAACAAGGGATCATTCTGCCTTCACCCCTCCAGTTTTGGAACAAGTAGGAACATTGTTATTTCCTCACCATGCATCAAATGTTTTATAATGCAACATAGACCTCCACGGGCATGTGGTTCCTGCCCAGGGAGTAGAAGGTTGTATGAAGCAGAGAAGTCATGATGATCATTGCAATTGACTGAAAGACCTCCACATATTATGAAGTGCTATAGGACAGGCTCCTTGAAGATGTGCTAATTCCGGGTGCATGACACGTGCTGACCATGTTCAGAGCCTTCTTTGCTGATATCAAATTCTTACTTGTGTCCACAGGTTCAGTGCTGAGCACAGACTGGTTGGAATTTACAGGTAATTCGCTCCCACCAGACCCATCCTTGACCTTTCAGCAGCCATGAGGGCACCCTGCTGTAGGGGCCCACCTGGAGACTGCAGGGGCTGGGCTAGAGAGACTCTTACCATTCTCTCCCACAGAGCCCTTCAGGCAGGTTTCAGAGCCAGGGCAGAACAGTGAGGATGGTGGGATTGTGGCTTGGGGATGATGGGGCAGGACTGGGGAACACATCAGGCTGGTGCTGGTGGGACTTTCCCCATTACTGCTCCAGGGTCGCATTTATATGTCCAAGACTATGCCTATTACCATTTCCATTGCCTTTGCTAATTCCAAAGCTGTGGCAATCAATTCCCACAGACCTGCTGCTCTTGCTGCCTTATAACTCACACTCTCTTCCTCCTTGCAGAACCATATCCTACTGGATGGCCAGAAGGAGCAGGTAATTTATCCCAAACTGATCCCACAAGCCTGCTGCATTCACTGCCCTCTCATTCACTCTCTCTCCTTCCCTGCAGCCACAGATCTGACCCCTCCTGCTGAGTGGCCATCCTCACAAGGTAATTCCTGCCCTCCCAGCTTCTTCCCAGCCTTGCAGCCAGCCCTAGCCCACCAGAAGAAGACTTGGGATGTCCTGCCCCTACTTACTGTGCCACAAGGCTGCTGCTCCCCTCGACCTATGTTGGGGGATTTTGGGGTGCTGCCAGGGAGGAGCTGAGCCACTGCAGAAGGGCAGCTGCAGTGGTGATGGGTCCAAGCCCAGCTCTGCAGCCAGCCAGCACACCCTGCAACAAGTGGAGGGAACAATCCCTTCCCTCCATCCCATACAGCTTCCTGGACAGACCAGGACACAGGTTGCTGTCCTGATGCCAGGCAGGACACACCCCCACACTCTCTGCACCCACTGCTGCTCCAGAATTGGTTTCCTATGGCCATTACCATCTTCACTGACACTCTCATATCCATTGCCATCTTCACAGCCTTTGCCAGTGTCATATCCATTGCCATGTCCCTTATCCAGCCCATTGCCACAACCCTGATCCCTTCCCTTTCATTCCCTCTTTCTTCTTCCTTGCAGCTCTGGATACAACACAGAAGGTAATTCCTGCCTTCCCATCTTATTCCCAGCCTTGCACTGAGCTCCTGCCTGGCACAAGGGAGGGCACAGGAGGGGGAAGGTGGTGAGCTGAGCCCTGGGGCAGGGCTGCTGCTGCCCTCTGACAGCTGCAGGGTGCATGGCTGGTCCCCATCAGGGCACCAGCCACAGTCCAGCTGTGCGGGGGGTTTATCTGCAAACCCTGACAAGCCCCGAGCAGCCCCCAAGA